AGATCAGGATCGACTACGAGGGAGGGAGCTCTCGCGCACGCAGCGGCAGCACCGCGTATTGGGGCGCGGAGACGGGGATGGGTGAGCCGCGCGAAGACGGCGCGTGGCGTGCCGTTCGGCGCCACCCTCCGCCGCCTCCGGCCACGTGCGAGGCAGTAGTCGCCGGTTGCCGGCACACGCTGCTTTGTGCGCCTCTTCACCGCGTGCGGCTGTGGATAGGCCGTGGTTGACGGTTTGGCGCGGCTGCAGAGCGCGGCGCGCGCATCGCAGGGCGGCGAGGACGTCGATGCGGCGTCGGCCGTCCTTGCTTGCTCAGTGGCGGACGAGACAGCGGCACCGCTCCCTTGGGGTGGCGAGCGAGGGGGCGACGCGCGCTTGCGGCTGCTTGTGCCGAGTCTAGCAAAGAAGCTGGCCGGGCTGCGAGCGCGCGTCGTGTCCTGCCAATGGGGCATCGTGGCGTCGCACTTGCCTGGACGCACCGGCGCCGAGTGCCGCGAGCGGTGGGCCGAGCTGCATGCGGAGGCGGAGATGGAGGAGATGGAGGAGATGGAGGCGGAGGAGATGGAGGAGGCGGAGGCGGTCGAGGTGGAGGCGTTCGAGGTGAGTGATGAGGAGGGGGCGCAGGTGGAGTCGGGAGCGGAGGCGATGGAGGTGGATGCTGAGGTGGTGGTCGCTGAGGGTGAGGAGGAGCAGGAGGAAGACGGCGTGGTAGAGGCCGCGGTGGAGGTGGAGGCGAGGTATGCATGGCTGTGACCTGTGTTGCGTGTCTTCCTCTTCTTGATGTGCGCCGAGTCGGCCGGGGCAATCAGTCAGCACAGCAGCCGCCTCGGTGAGAACAATACGTCTTCCATCTTCCACAAAAGCGCCCCTCTAGTTCGTGTTGTTATGGAAACAAACGCAAGCCAATCGCGTCATAATGCGGGAGAATTCTTTTTACTGGTTGGGAGAGTCGAAAAGTTCTGAGCCTCGACGCCTAGAAGGCTCGGGTCTAAGTGTGCCTAGGCACGCTGGGGTGCTTGCGCGGTCTAAGATCAGCGGGAGCCTCTTACATCGGCTAAGTCGGCCGTGGCACGGCCTGGGGCCAAGAGGCTCCCACCGTGAAGAGCGTGATCGATACGGCGCTCCGCCCAAATTTTCTTCGCCTGCGGCGGGCGCCTACTAAAATCCGGATCGATCCTTCTCATGCCTCAGCAATCGCCGCCTCAGCATCCTCCCCTTCCGATTCTCGTTGCTGCTTCTTGAGCGCAATCTCTAGCCAAACATTTCTCACAAATAGCCTCAAGCTCAAACAAACGCATGTCAGAGAAGCCTGTGTATGCTGGTCCTCTTTGAACGATCCGCGCGTGAAGGTAGGAAGCATAGGACCTTGTTGGCAGCAGCCAGCTTGTTGCGCTGCTTCGTTGCGATGAGCTGATTGGGATCGCAGAAGTGCATATCCATGCCAAGCACCGCCACGATCTTGAAGCAGAACACATCGCAACCGCATCGTCCGCACTGCCATCAGCATGCCGCGCCCGCCGCTTCGCCGCAGCCGCCTTACGGCACGCATATAGCGGCAGCACATGGTACGGTGCGCGTACTTGAGCAGGAATTGCGCGCCGCAAGTAGCGCACTGGCCCTGGGAGAAGGCGATATGGCGTCGTGCGCGGCATACGTTGGTCGGGACGCGTCAGGACTCAGGTATTTTTTACCGGGTTTTACCCGGAGTTGGCCTTATGTCGTATAAGTTCATGGCCCCCGACCATACAGCGTCTAAGTCTGAGCCCAGCTCCGTGCGGGGGCTAAGTTGAGCGCTCGCTCGCTGCAGAGGCTAAGTGTAGAGCAACCCTCTAGCCCGACTACCCAACCATTTTCTTTTTGACTCGAGGAGACGCCGTCGAGGGTCTACCCGTCAATGCGGCAGGTGTAAAGCTCTGGCTCGCTGCCAACGCGGTGGGTCACCAAGGACTTTTCAGCGTGCGGCGTCATCACCGCGCGGCGCGCAAGCCACGCCCCACCCGAGCAAAAGCAACGATCGCGCGCCGCCGCCGCCCGCCTCGCCGCGCCGCGCCGCGCCGCGCCGCGCCTCGCCTCGCCTTGCAGCAGCGCACGCGCACGTGCGCCCGCGCGCCCGCGCGCCCGCGCGCCCGCGCGCCCGCGGTCGCTCCGCGAGAGCGAAGCGACCTTCCTCGCGGGAATCGAACCTGGAGCCAAAAGCTCCCGGCTCGAACCGCGGACCGGCTCGACCACCGCCGCTGGCGGTTCTGCAAAGGCACTCAAGGGCCTCCTCATATAACGTGAAATAGTGCGAGCGAGCGCAAGATACTCATACGTTATTAGGCTAATAGTTTGATAGTGCGGCGGCACGAGGGCTTCAGCCACGCAGCTACCAAGGGAACGCGACCCACACAAAGCACCAAAGTACTAGCCCAACAGCGGGGCGACCGCCCTCTCCAGGTAGGTTTGCTGCCCATTGGCCGTCGCGACGCCGTTCCACTCGTAGAATGGAACGCTGATCACCCTCCAGCCAGCCGCCGCGAGGAGGCGCCGCTTGAGCAGCGTTGGCCCATTGGGTCTGCGCACGCCCCGGCCGTCGGGCAGCAGGAAGTGAGAGGGGCCGTCCACCTCGATCGCGAAGCGTGTCGAGGGCAGCGCCAGGTCGAGCGAGTAGCCGGTGCGCGGCTCGAGATGCTCTTCCTCGAAGCCGTGCTGGACGGCGGCGAGGGCAGCCGCGACGGAGCGCTGCAAGCCTGACGGCCGAGCTATGGTCGCCACCATAGCGTCGCGGCAAAGCTGGCGCTGAGGGGAGGGAAGAAGATGCTGCTGCGCGTCTGCTCCTCGCTCAAGGAAGAGCCAGAGCTGCCACTGGTGCAGCTGACGGCGGGCTTCCTCGCTCCACCTCGACGGATCCCGCGCGAGCGAGTCGCTGATCACGCGCGAGCAGTCGGCAAGCAGTGCCTGGTGATAATGTGCTGCCGTCGCATACGCCCACACCGTGTTGGCCAGGTTCTGAGCGTTGAAGCCAGCCAGCCCGCTTCGCACCGCCGCCTCCGCCACCGCCGCGAACAGCGCGTCCGCAGCCACGCCCGCCGTCGCATACGCCCACACCGTGTTGGCCAGGGCCTGAGGGTTGAAGCCAGCCAGCCCGCCACGCACCGCCGCCTCCGCCACCGCTGCGTACAGCGCGTCCGCAGCCACGCCCGCCGTCGCGTACGCCCACACCGTGTTGGCCAGGTTCTGAGGGTTGAAGCCAGCCAGCCCGCTCCGCACCGCCGCCTCCGCCACCGCTGCGTACAGCGCGTCCGCAGCCACGCCCGCCGTCGCGTACGCCCACACCGTGTTGGCCAGGTTCTGAGGGTTGAAGCCAGCCAGCCCGCTCCGCACCGCCGCCTCCGCCACCGCCGCGTACAGCGCGTCCGCAGCCACGCCCGCCGTCGCGTACGCCCACACCGTGTTGGCCAGGGCCTGAGCGTTGAAGCCAGCCAGCCCGCTCCGCACCGCCGCCACCGCCACCGCCGCGTACAGCGCCTCCGCAGCCACGCCCGCAGTCGCGTACGCCCACACCGTGTTGGCCAGGGCCTGAGCGTTGAAGCCAGCCAGCCCTTCGCGCACCGCGGCCTCCGCCACCGCCGCGTACAGCGCGTCCGCAGCCACGCCCG